AGTGATGTCGCGCCGGCGCCATAAGTGGCGAAGGTTAGCAGAAGCGCCCCGAGCTTTTGCTATACGGTTCGTGATCTCCTGTTCAATCTCATCTTCAATCGGAGCTGGCCTCGGTTGGAGCGTCACGGTTCCCTGGTTGGGGTCCAAAAGACGGTGAACACTTTTGGCTGGATACAGTTGTTGACATGGCAAGGAGCCGACCTTATTTGCGTATCTGCTGTGAGTTTCTTTGTCCCACCCCATCTCTTTTAACCTCTCCCTCTTCCTACGATCTCATTTCATAGTCTAAAACATGATAAATTTTCTTTTTGCCTAGTAGCCGGCTGGTAGCTTACCGGAACGATGCCTATCCGTTGCTGGTAGCTCAGCTGGCATGCAACTGTTGTATTTATTTTCCTCTATGTATTGCGGCACAGTAGCTGAGGTGTTCCCCACCTCAAGCTGACGTGTATAATGATGGTGATGACCTTCAGCGCGAAGTTAGCTGGCAGCTAACGAGCGCCGGAAACACGTCGTGGCTGTCGGTACTCATCTCGCTCATGATCAAAACAGCCTCATGTCGGTGTCTTTAAAGGTTAGGCTTTTTCTCAGCTGTGCCCTGCACTAAATCACTCGTCTGCCGAGAATTCCGTACGTCTGCACCACTAAGGTGAGAGAGAAATTCATATCTCTGCACCCGCAGTATCATGTTGCGAATTTTGCTAAACATTGGATGGCTATTGGATGTTTGGGACAACAACCGTAAATGATCGGCGTTCACCATAAGCGAGCCACAGTAGGTAAATGAACGCTAATCGGCCTTCTTCCGTCAGACTAACCGTACATGCGGCGATTTTTCGATTAGTTCATTAGCTCAGCAGACGACATTGAATAAGTTGCGTTCATTTGTGCGCGTGCTATGTAGGCCCTGACAGGCGCTAACGGATGAAGGGCTTGTTTGGCTTGCCGGACAGCCCATGGGTGAACAAACATTGGCTCGACAGTAAGGAATCGATCATTAGCGACCGATTCATCCATCTTTCCTTCGAGTTTGAAAACCTCGCGACCCACCTCGTGATTGAGCCGAGGCGTTTTGGTAATCACTCCCCACTGGTATTGTTGTGTCTTTTGTAATTGTTTCCCAGTCTTGTTATTTCTTAAAATTGTGTCTCATACCGAGATATCTGCGGAGTAGTGGCTACTTATGACCTGGAGCGGCAAAGATTTCAAGAGATCTGTCTCGATAATACTACCCTAGCTTTGCACGATGACCAGCTTTTTGTACCGTATGTTGTTGATAAAGTGTAGATACATTGTCCCATGAATATTTACCGATGGCCTTTGTCTTTTACACTAGTTACTCCGTCTCTTCCTTATTTTACTGTTCGCTCTGGTTGCACGGTATTGGAATATCAATTCCGCTTGATGACATATTGCTTATGATAAGGCTATTGGGGTAAAGGCTTGTGCTAAAATATAACATTTTCGAAACCGTTTGTCTCCACGGCACATAAATTGTATAAGGATAGCAACGGGATGTAGAGAGAAATGAGATAAATACCTTAACTTAGACTAGCAAGATTTTCGCTGGAATAGCCGAATAGGTTGGGTAAGTATGTACATACCATTATGATAGTTAGAGTGATCTGCTTTAGAGTAACCTTATAACACTCACTGGTGGGTTGAAAGCTTAGATTTAACTTTACCTACAAACCCGATTAGGAAGCAGTATCTCGAGGTTAATTATAATTTGTTAAGTTGTTACTTAAAAATAATTCTTCGCAGCGTAGCATATCGCTCATTGGTCGGACCACTGGTCACAAAAGATCTGGTGTCAGCGAGGTTATCTACAAGGCGGATTGGTCACAAGTCACCAACTTGCAGAGGCGCATGGACAAATGGCTGAGCATTTCTAGTCTCAATTCAGTTCTTTCCCGTTGTCCACTTTCGCGCTCAGCTCGCCTCGTAGTACGCCATGGGCTGTGCCACTCGAACCACCCACTGAGGCCGCAGTTCGCCTTGTGTCTAGACACTTGAAGCGCTTTACGGCTGCTGGTTTAAACGAGCTTCCTCCGGTACTGTTCAAATATGCTGCTATGGAAATTACCACTCAGTTAACACCCCTATTTCTGAAGATCTGGGGGAAGAAAGGGTCCCCTCTTCATAGAGTGAGTCACTTATTGCCCCAGTCTTCAAGAAAGGCTCCCGGACTTCATGTGCCAATTACAGAGGAATCAGCCTGATATCAGTTGCCTCCAAGCTGCTAGTATCCATTATGTTGCGCAGGCTATCGCCAACTCGCGAGGCGCACTATCGGGAGGAGCAGGCTGGTTTACCTCCCGGTTTCCTCAGCACCTTGAACATCATGTGTACCGCAGATCCACCATCGTCGTCTCCATAGACGTTCGGGCTGCATTCGACTCGATAGACCGACCTGCTTCATAGCAATATCTACTCAAGGATGGAGTCCAGAACTAGTACATCACTGTACTTCGGACGCTACACTTTCACGCTTCAAGCAGAATAAAGGCCTACGACAAGCTCTCCGCAGTCTTGCTTGTCACCAATGATGTCTCTATTTCTTTTCAACGTCGCGCTCTGGGATGTTTTGTTGGGAACTTTAGAGTGCTTTCAAAAATCTGGAATTGAGCTCCTTCCAGGTACTCGTGCAACCGACTTAGCTTACGCTGATGGTATCGCCTTGTTCGGTGACGACCCTCATGATATACAACTGATCCTTGACTAATTGGTGTTTGAAGCGTCTAAGTATGTTATGTGCTTTTCCCCATCAAATGACAAAGTGTTGGCACAGGATTGGCAGAACGCTCTACCTCTGCTCGTCATCAAAAACACTTGGCTTGAACAAGTGGAGAGTTTCGTTTGCCTTAAGATTTGTATCTCTACCGACGGAACTACTGGAGAACGGGTGTCTGCGTATCGCTAAAGCCCACTCGGCCTTTGCCAATTTGAGACACTTGTGGTGTCGTCGCGACATCTCGCTTTTGCTAAAAGGCAGGGTTTACAATGCCTGTGTTCGCGCGATACTTTTGTATGGATGCGAATCCTGGCCAATCCGAGTGGACGACATGCGTAGGCTTTCGACCTTCGCCAACCTCGGTCTGCGGATGATCGCCCGGTTATAGTGTCAATACCGGGGCCCTACGATGATATTAGACAGCGCGTCTTTAGCAAAGCGGATCTCCCGCTTGTTCTGTTGTGCCTGTTGTGATGGCTTGGCCACGTCCTGCGCATATCTGGCGAGTAGTTGCCACGCCGCGCCCTATTTGTTCATGCAGGGCTGCGTTAGAAGAGGTCACGTTGTGGCCAACCGACCATCTGCCGACAAGGCATCAGAACACTGCCATCCTGTTAATCAGTTGCTGGTCCAGTACGCCTTCCCGGTTGCGGATCGAATGATAAAGAATGCCGATGGCGTACAACACTGAAAACACTGGCACAAAACCGGTTACAGTGAAAACAGTGCGCGCAAGTCTGAGTGAACTCCCGATTTCCAATGTGACAAGATATTGAAAAAAACGGCTTGTAGAATGGACAATATGTTCTTTGCCGATTCTTCATTTCATTTTGACATAAATATACCTATTCCTGTTCGTTGTTGCATTTCCATGGTTTTGCATGGTTCAAGTCTTATTTTCTCATGTATATATACATACATATATATATATATATATATATATATATATATATATATACTGGTCGATAAAAAAGATGATATGTGCATATTACGGCCATGCAATCTTTGCTGGCGTTTCCTTTCAGAGTTCACTTCAAAGTATATCTTCAGTGTTTGCATGGCGACTATTGTAATACTGTTAATCTGAGAAGACAAATGAGCTCGGTTAGGTTTTCCTTCCAAAACTACTTTGAAGATAGAGACTGTCATGTTGAATTGGCCAAGCTATATATGCGAATTATCATTCATGAATGTGGGGCGAACTCTATTGGTTTCATTTCATACCTCACATGCTGGTGAAAATTCAAGATTGATATGACCCTTTTGAAGATAATGTAATACTTACTTGTGAGAAATCAACAAGCTTCAGGTGGTGTTAACTTTCCTAATTCACTTGTAGTTAGGAACTATCAGGTTTGCATTGCTGATTGCAAACTTTGCGTTACATTTTGAGCTAACTTATGATATTACCTGCTTTGTTTTTCGATATACCTGGGTCAAAGGAAAATGTACAAAGGATCGTAAATGGACAATCTGTTTAGTTGGTCAACGGCTATCGCCGCTTACGGCCTACGTTTCAGCCCCTTCCTCTCATATAGTCTCTATTCTATGGTTTTTTTCTAATTGATGCCTCAGTCTGTCGCGCCTTAAAGTGCTTCTTGTGCATGTTTCCGGACATTTGTTTCTATTCGCATTTCAGCAGGTAACCTGTTCCAGATTTTAGAGTACTTAATCGTGTAAACATTTTATCGTACGGTCGTTTTGCTTTTGAATATGAGAAGTGAATTCTTCTCGTTACTGATGCCATAACTCTCCTCCTTATTGAACTGCATAATACTATATGTTCATTATGAGCACCCATTTTTCCGGTGCATTGTACATCTGAAAATTCAATCTTTTAGTTTATCTTCGTCCAACTATCATTATCTATTTTGGTTGCGCTGCGATATGTTGACTGCATTCCGATGGCATCCGACCTTGCGCTGTATTTTGCTAGTGCGCTAGGCTTACCGTGGCCCAAAGGATCATAAACCTGCCTTGTTATCCGAGGCCGCGGGTTTGAACTTCTGTTGGGCCCCTGAAATCTTTGCAGTATCCTTAGTCCCCAACCGACTGTTAGTGGTTGCACGGCGGCGAAGCGTCGGTACTTCATCTCGGTGTACTGCTGATACCAGGGTGCACACGTTTTACTCATTTTGTGGCCCCTCCTATTTTTTCTCTTGGACGTTAAATGCTCTAAAGTTACCACATTTCCGCTTCTTACAAACTCTTGATCAGTAATTCACTTTGACGTTGATGCTTTCCACACTCCTTTTTCTACGTTTAGCGTCACTTGTGTCCGCTTCATTCCACACACTTCACTTGCCGTCTCTTCTGATATGAGTGGACTGATAAAACAGTGGGATGTGTCAAAGCTGCGAGAAGTTACCACTTTAAAGGTGAGAACTTATAATGTTCATTTGATTAAAATATGCCATCTCTTTGTGATTCAGCGTCTCAATTCGTACTCTTTTTTCAAACTAGGGCCATCACGGAGGAATAACCTGTCTGTCTACTGCTGCGACTGATGCCGATTTCGTAACCCGAAGAACGAAGAATGGGGAGAGGAGAAATTTACGTAAAAACGCCTCAAAAGTGGATATATCCCATGAAGAAACTGACTGGGAAGATTCATGTGGCGGGCTTGTGGTCTCATCTGGTCTCGATTTTAGCATTCGTTTGTGGTTAGAATCGGATGATTTGCTCATACTAGAAGAGGAGGCTGAATTAGCTCGAGAAGCCGAAGAGGGTGAAGAACTGGTTCGGTCAGAAGCCGTTATACCGGGAGCTATTCCGGCTGAAATAAGCGAAACTGGCATTTTAGGTTATCCTAACCATAACACAAGGGACTTGGTGAGTCTCCATTATGTTTCTTTCCAAACCTACACATGTCGTTAATCATGGCCGTCGCGATGAGTTACAGTGTTTTACTTATTCCTCATCACGACTGCATGCGCTCGGTTGCAGATGCTACATTACGGGTTTATTTGAAGTTATGCGTGATCGATGAGCGTGCGTCGGTGTATCCATACCTTTTGCTGATATTTACGGGCTTTTCATCTTACCCCAGGGTTTGAAACTCATATTATGTATACTCATAAGGTATGCGGATCCAACATTACGGGTTAACGTCCTTAACTCTAGCGTCACTTCGAATAGCTGGGATCTGGATATTTCTCATAATGACTGATTTTATGCGTTTGACTGTAGCATACCAAGTACCTTTCTAAACTCCTGAAACCCAGGCTCAAACTGCGCAACAGCCATACCACGATAATCGTCTAGGCTTGTTATACCTCACCTACGTTTCACCTTTGACAGCAGCTTGCTGCTTAGAACTTCATTGTTTATCTATCCCATGATTAAGGCATATCGCGCCTAACTGCCCCATTTGATCGAGCGCACATTTCGGATATGTTATTACTCTTAGATGTATTTGTTCATCAGTCATTTTCGCCTCATATATGCACTCTTCCTCCATCACAGGCCGACATGTTGATGGAAGCTACTGATATCTTCTATGAAGAGTGTGGCAGATTACAGCTAATTGCTGATGGTAAACGTGCGCAACCAATCCACCCTCTGATTGCTGCGCGATGTGGTGATGGGTCACCGGAACGGTTTTTACTCTCTAGTCTGAATGCTTTGCGAGCGTCAGGTACCCAATTCGGTGGCGGCGGTGCTGGTTTTGAGCATGCACTTGGTGCGATAACGACGGACCACGTACGCCGGCTATTGCCTCAATTGGTCGATTTTCTTACCCGCGGGTGGGAAGTAGAGCTTGTCGGACGGGCTATTCGACACATCGTGACTTTGCATTTTTGTCTAATCGTTAGCAGTCAGCCTCTTCGAGACGTGTTGGAACAATCACGTGAAGCACGTTCCCATGCACTAGGAAGATTAAAGGTCAGTATCGCAAGCTTCAATACCTGTTTGCCTTTTTTCGCTTAAAGACCACTACAGGAAAATATACTTGAATTCTCTCGCAGATAACTAGTTTCCGTAGCTACCCGTATAATGTGGAGTTGACTTTTACTGTCCTAGTTTCTGTCTTTGCATCGCATTTTCATTTAAATGCTCAGTTAACCACTTGGCGTACTGGATTCCTGGCCTATCGATCATCTCTCAATTTACTGCCACACTTCCCTGATCGCCGAATGCACGATTTATGCATCACATTCTCGAGTCATAAGGTAGCGGTGGAGTGAAACCGGGGAATTTCGTCTATCCCCAAGACATTGTCGTCCGTAATCTTTCCATTTCCCTATCCTTTTCTCAAGTTTGCTTCTTGTGTTCACCAGCGCGAAGTCACTGCCAACTCCATAAGCCTTGCTAACAAGGAAACTACACTATATTACAAATTCTAAAGGTCGCTACCATGTTTAAAATTCCGCACTCTGCGCCTGATCCGCCAACGTGCGGCAGTCGCTATGATTACATGTCCTCGGATTCAATGTGTGCCACTTCCACAAAACTTGCATCCATGGCAACGACGTCCTCGTTCATCAGCGCTTACCTACAGGCCGTTCCAGTGTTGAGGCTTAACACTTCGCATCCCTGATGGTATCGAATGCCTCTCTCTCTCTCTCTCTCTCTCCGATATCAGGATCGCCGTCGCACATGATTTTCTGTTAGTATGTATGTCAGTAGATGGCCACATGGATACCACTCGACCACTATGCCCCATCGGCCGAAGGCAATGTGTCTTTGTGTTTTTATGCACACGCTCTCACCGACTTTGTCCCGAGGCGCTTCCGTATTCCCTCTCGTTTTCCCGGTTCTTTGTAGGTTATTTTTTCTGTCTAGTTTCAGAACCTAATTTTATTTTTGCTAACTGTTTTAATGGCTACATGCATCAACATAGTCGGACCCACTCTACATCTGTGCGCGAATCACTATTAGTGAAATCGGTTAGACTGGTCCTTCTGTTTCCACCAACCGGGTTTTTCAACTGCATCAACTTTTTATCGGATCCCTCCTCGTTTTACTCGGCAATCTACGGGTTGAAGCACAGAGGATGCCTCCTTATTTTAGCTATTACATACTGTTAAAGCTTATACGCAACCATCGGTTATTTGTTTAATAACTATCCTTGAAATATACTTGAAGCGATCAAGGAGTAATGAGTGCAGAGAGGTTCGAGAATAATCGGTTGACTTGTTCGTTAATTTCGCTTTTGACACAAAAGCTTCGTCAAGCCCACGGAATCCGAATGCAGTTGGCGCAGCATTTTATAGCAAACTTAAACGATAAACGCGATAGCAGCGACAGATCGCGTTATCACTTTAAGTGCTTCAGTCACAGTGGAAATAGTCCGGCTTTTCGTTTGTGCGTCATGGAAATGCCAGATGGGCTTATAGTGAGGAGTCCAGTTGCACTTTCCAATCTTGTCTGCGGATCGACGCTCGTCATTCTTGCCGGGTTAAAATCGTTCGCCATGCAGTTGCGAGTTCTTCCCCTCCATTTTATTCACTCAGCTGTCCGATTAGGAAATTTCCAACGCCTTCGCAATCAACTGCTGGAACAATGCTGGTTGTATACCCCTCCTGTTGCAGAACTCAGTCCTTCAGTGACAAGCGTTTGTTCGACAAAGACATTTCGACGAAAATTACAGCACGTTTGGCAAGTCATACTACTCGATATAAGTTACGCGTTCAGTCCATAACTAACGATCCTTTTGAGGCAGTAACTCAGTTCAACCAACGATGAGTAACTCATATGAATGTCGGCCAATCCATGTCCAGCAATCAAATCAGTTACACCCGTCGACCACTGGCTATCTGGCTCGCTCGGTTGGTCCACCCGTACACACTGGTGTGACACTCCCATCACACCTCCTGATTATTTCTACACTATCCAGGTCGATCTGGTGACCCGTGTCTAATTGTGGCCGTATTCGAAACCATTCATCGGTGGTCGTGAAATGTGCCTTTTGTTTGATTGCAAAGTAACACTTTGACTATTGTCCCCGCTATCGCAATTATCGTCCCTGTTCGTTGTAAAATATCGCTTTAATTGCACACCGTTTCAAGTGGCTTAACGAAGCTTAAGAGTCGAAAACGAAACTGTAATGTCCGCTGGTCCGTTGCCTTGTATGTGCAATGTCGTCACGCTGCTCTACCCACGAACTTCTTGAAAAAACACTTTGCAAAACTGTATCCAGCTTGGTGTGTTCCTGAATGTTCACAAATATAATCAGCGGAGCTCTGAATTATACGTCCGTTTCATGCTCAACTGACCCGATCTCCTGGACTTCTTCTGTCCTGGGCTGTTTTACGCTAAGTCGTGAGAGCGCATCAACGTAGCTTAACTCTACCTTGGCACGTGAGATTTTGTAAAGTTATCTGTGTACACAGATATGCTCTTCTTTGCACCGAAAATGTCTATTAATGCTTTGTGATTAGTCTCCAGTACGAATTCCCTACACTGCAACATGCGATGAAATTTTTTAACAGAAAAGTTAGGACTATTACCTCTACGAATGTGAGTAGTTTTCATCCGACGTCGTTAAAGCCTGTGATACGTAAGCAGTCGGTCTCATGATGCTATACTCGAACCGCTCCAACGCCATAACTAGTGGCATCACTCGGGATAATGTAATGTGCTTTCGGGTCAAAAGGTGCCAAAATTAGATCATATGCAGGAGCTTTCCTAATCAGCCAAAACACTTCTCACGTCGAGATGACGAAAACCAAAAATGATTTTCATCTAGTAACTCATTCATTGGCCCGTGAAACCGATGCATATCAGGACTAAATACCCTGCAATACTTCACCACGTCCCGCAAGGTTCGTAAGGTAAATAGATCATGTGGTGCATGTAGTTCCTCTTTGAGGCGATTTTTTTCGATATTAAGTCCCCTTCCCTCACGATTGACAATAGCCGATATTTTAATTGAGTCAAGAACGAATGCGATTTATCAGCCTTCAGAGTAAAACCATATTCCAGTAGGCGTTGGAATACGTTGAAGATTTGGCAGCTATGCTGTGTTCTGTCTCACGATGCGACGATATCATTCAGGCATGCACAACCGATGATATGTCTGCCAGCGTCGTGTTCATCGGTTGTTGAATGAGACCCAAAGCAGCGTTCACTCCGAACCGCAGCCGGTTGTACTTATACAGGTCACGATGTGTGTAAACTGTAAAAAGGCACCTTGTATCATCATCACTATCACTTGGAAATAGGCATCCGAGAGATCCATTTTGAAAAAATTTGGCTGCTTGTGAGTCTAGCGAAATGATCTTTCGGTACTGGCAGCGGGTAATGATAGAACTCCAGTGCTGCAGTTCGGTTCAGTTGAACAAATCTGATCCGAGCACTGAAATGCGGTGGATCCAGTTGTCATGACTCACATCGCAACAATAACCATAAATAACAACGTCAAGAGGGTGGAGTTGGATGCAGATAGAATGTAAAGAAAATGGACTCAAAAAGAAAATGCATCAATCAGAATGGAACGAAAATTAAAAACCAGATGCAAGAAACCGAATGCAAGAACGCCACTGACTGCGTGACTACGCCATGTCTGTTACGGTCTCCAACCATTAGTGTGGACCATCGCGAGGTCCCCATCCACGAAGACGGCACCAGCCTGACCAAGTCTCAGTCAGATTCTTCATATGCCTCTGTGCCTCACGGTTTCACTCAAATTAATGCAGCCACGGCGTATAATGCACGCTGAGGAAGCCGGTCAACTGGCATACGGAGGACATGGCCTAGTCTACGTAAGTGATTAGGATTCAGTAAACACTCGAGTGAGGAACCAGAAGATTTCTTGCCAAAAACCAACTGGCGGACCTCAGCACTGCTCTGTCTATATTCCCACCAGACGTGAGCAATGCTCCGCAAGTACCGGTGGCCAAACACGGCCAAGCGTTTAATGTTTTCGCCGCAAACTGGTCAGGTTTATCATCCATGCTGTAAGACCGGTGTTACTGCAGCATTATACATCCTACCTTTCACTGACAGGCTGATATCCCAACGTCTCTATAAATGGTCGAGTATCTGGAAAGCCACACGGGCTTTGCTGATACGCGAAGTAACCCTCAGTGATGTGACACAGCTACCATTTCCAGTGACGTTTCGATGATAGCTAGAACCGGAGATATGTCAGTCCAGTCTTGCAACAACACTTTGCACTTTGACGATGCAAAGCACATGCCGAAGCGTGCGGCGCTACGCACCATTCTATTCAGTAGTGTTTGCATGGCCACTGCGTCACACCCAGGAAGAGTTATGTCCCTCGCATACTCCGGTTTTATCAGTCGGTCAATTGGCAGAATTTCCACTGCGGTAAAGTCTGAAAGTACGGAGTCACTCATGATTAATTCGATGACAAAGTTAAGGAGGAAAGGAGACATAAGACAACCCTGGCGAACCCCACTTGTCGTGGGGAACTCAAGTGACAGTTTCCCGTAGGCCCTAACCCGGCCTTGGGAGTCTCGGTATAGAGAGACTGCATAATGGAAATGAATGTAGCTAGCACGCTTTTCATGGATAGGCAGGGCCACAATTTGACGCGGGCAAAGGAGTTAAACGTGGCTTTCAAGTCAATGAAAACCACTATAGTCGGTCATCTGGCTCTAAAACTTGGCGAAGAGTTAATATGTGGCCGATACAACCACGACCTGGGTGGAACTCAGCCTGACTTTCAGTGAATCGGTTTTCGCCGGGACCAGTAAGTCGTCAGAGAAATTTGGTTGCAACGGAAATAAGTTTACTGTCTCGGTGATTACCGCACAAAGTACACTGACCCTTCTTGAAGATGACCACGACAGTTAACAATCGCTAGTCTAGAGACGCCATTTCAGCGTTCCAAATTGTGCTAAATAGTGGAGCGAGTCCAGTCATAATGAGTCCCCTCCGTCTTTCAGCATTGTTGGAGAAAGGTAATCGGGTCCAGG